CGCGTAGGCTGTGTATATTCGCGGCCAGATTGTGGACAGATATGATGATTGTGCTTACACAATCAAATGCATGCATTGTCTTATAAGGCATGGAGCGCAGAAGCAATAATTTCTATCAATAAATATCATCGATTTGAGTGAATAGGTGGCAGATATGTGCTGCAATGTTGTGGACAGATATGATGATTGTGCTTACACAATCAAATGCATGCATTGTCTTATAAGGCATGGAGCAAAGAAGCAATATTTTCTATCAATAAATATCATCGCTTTGTCTGAATAGGTGTCAGATATGTGCTGCAATGGCGTTAAATGAGCATGCAGGCGCGCGTGATCGGTGATACCAGCCGACTCATAAATTGTATACACCAGGTTACAAATACATGATATCGAGTGAAACAAAGATGTGTAATCCATGATGTCCGATGGTGTGTAATCCATGTCAGGCGATTTATAATCCATGCTGCCATTAGATTCAAATGTATAATCCATGATTTTCATGGATTTGTAATCCAAGAGCGATTTAAGTCCTTTGAGAGCTGGGCGATGAACGCGACGATCAAACATCAATGTCGAGTAGAAGACAAAAGGTCCAATTCGTACTATAATTTAACTATTGAACGGCCGAGAAGAGAATACAGATCAATACAAGCTAGATGGAATGCAGATCATTATAAGTTCAATGCTCCGTCAGAATTTTTACGTAAAATGTTAGTGCTCGGTCTTAATACTAAAGCTCATACTATCATGACAGTTCCGCATTAGAATCTTCGTATTGGGCAAAATGCGTTCTGAGGTAACGGGAAAGTAAATGATTTTATTCTAAGTCTGCTCCAGGGATTTAAATATTGAGATACGTTCTAGTTTTCACGTACATTCTGAAAAATAGCGCATTTTTTCCATAAATGAGAAAATGTGCTGAAAATAGGTGATTAGCAGCGATTGAAATTTTATGATATGATCCTCAATCATTATAGGAAAAATGACAACTTTCTCGAGATAATTTAGATGGAAGAATTTAGCGGTTTCATATATGAACAAGTATGATCTATGTAGTACATGTTACAATGTGTGAATACATGAGAGAGTACACAGATTACAGCCTAGGCCCAGGTGATGAAAAATTCTGTGTTTCGGTGGAAAAAAAGTATAATTGTTCAGTGAGAAAGTGTCCAGAAAAATATTTCTTTATCTATAAACAAGACTCGGCAAAAAAAAGCGTAAACAGTTCTGTAGAATGAAATTATAGCATTCAATACGTGAAGCAGTCAAGCAGAGTGTCAAGTTTTACATTAAATATGTGTAACAAATAAGAGAGTTAAGCTGTAGTATTGAAGGGAAGCTTCAAGTGTGTTTGAAGACTACGAGGGTATTTACGACTTCCTGTCGAGCCTACAACGCGGTATGTGAGCTCAGTTTTTCGAACTCAGGGTTTTGATGTCAGTGTCTGAGTTCAGTGTTCAATACAGCACCGGCTACATGAACCCAATTGAACAAAATATCCAGTGGAATAGTTAAACAATAAAAACAAGGTAAGATGGCTAAATGTGTTGTTATAGAACCCACTATGTTCTAGCATAATTTGCAAAGAGCTTAATTTGTAATGCGGCACTTGAAGTGCAGTCCAGGACCCGATGAAATTCCGGAAGTGCTGTAGAAGAATTGTGTTGGAGCACTGAAGGCACCACTCACAATGCTCTGGAAATCCTCGATGATGGAGGGAATTATTCCTGTGAGCCTCAAAATGGGACTGATAACGCCGATCCACAAAGGAGGTCCGAGGGACAGACCCCAAAATTACAGACCTGTGACATTGATCTCGCAGGTGATCAAGGTTTTCGAGAAGGTAGTGGTCAGGAGGCTTGTCCGGTATATGGAAGAGGCTGGACTATATAATAATGGGCAACATGGGTTCCGGCTAAACCATTCTGTTTGTCACAGTTACTGGAGCACCATCACCGACTAGTGACCAGGACTTTGCTAGAGCTTTTGACAAAGTCGACCATAGGGTGGTCTTTAGAAAGCTGAGGCTGCTGGGGGAAAGAGGAAGCCTGTTAGAATGGATACACAACTTCCTTACAAGAAGAGTACAAGTTGTCGCAATTGGAAACTCGATATCAAAGAAAGCGAGGGTTAAATGCGGAGTGCGCCACAAGGCTCTGTGCTTGGGACGATCCTCTTCCTCGACCACATCGTCGACATTGACTCGGAACTTACCCATGTATCTACATCGTCATTTGCGGACGATACAAGATTACTGAAGAGGATCAGAGATGACCTAGACTACGAGAGGTTACAGGTTGACCTGTCGACAATCTACTATTTGGCCCTAGTGAATAATATGTAATGCCGCGGCGCCAAGTTCGAAGTGATGAGATATAGAGTTGGCACGGAGACCGTGTTGCCACATCGCTACTTGGCATCGGATGGCACAGAAATTGAGGAGTAACTAGTTCAAGATCTCGGTGTGTTGCTGAGGGCCGAAGCCGCATTCGAAGACCAATATCGAGGAAATAGTCGCGCAAAGCAGACAACGGATGGGTTAAATCAGCTGGAGGACATTTCGAATGAGAGAAACAGCATCAATGATTACACTCTCCTGAGCCCTCGTTGAATACTGCTGCCAGCTTTGGGTGCCGCTCAAGGCGGGCGCGGTTCGGAAACTGAAGTCAGTCCAACGGACCTTCACGTCTAGGATCAGCGGTATGAGGGAGCTGGAACTGAACTACTGGGACAGTTTGAAACACTTGGACTGTATTCACTGGAGAGGAGAAGAGAGAGGTACATCATATTGTACACTTGGAAAATGATAACCGGACTGGCTCCCAACTTTGAAAATGAAACCCCCAGAATAGTGACATATTACAACGAAATAAGTGGGAGGCTGTGCAGGATTCCCAAATTTAATAACCGATCCCCGGCCTGAGTACAGACTCTTCGTGAGGGATCACTGTCCGTGGCAGGTCCGAGGCTGTTTATTGCCTTGCCAGAAGTGCTGAGAGGAACAGAGTTCACCCTTGCAACATTCAAGAGACGACTGGACAAGAAGTTTGGAAAGATCCCAGATAGTCCAGTTATGGGAAACTGCCTCAACAAGTGACAAGCAACAGCATCTTGCATCAGCTGGCCCAAAGGAGAGCAAATAGACGGAACACGTCCAACGTTACATCCGGGACCCGAGGGCGGGGTGACATGCCTAGTTACGACTTAGAGACGGAGGATGACGAAGGCAGCGCATCAGCTTGACCGTGGACTAAGAGGCCCTAAACTCATCATTAGGTCATAAGATGCCGCATCCATACACCAGGGGCAGCATCACACTATGTGAGCTGAGCTTGCATGGGAGCGCAGCCGAGCACCACCAATTTTGTGCACCAATAAGCCCTGAATCGAACGCCTTGGATCTCTCCGGACCTACACCAATCAGTCGTGCACCACTCGGCTTTGTCCTCTTCCGGCCTTGACCACCACCTGCCGTGCACCACCAGGCCGCGGATCGAATATGACTTCCAGGCATCGCTAAATTACGTAATTTTACGTTCACCGCATCTGAGGTTAGGTTTCAGATAGCATCGACCGAGGGCTGGTTCGATCCACGGCCTAGATACGGACGGCTTGAAGTGTTGAAGGCTACGTTCCGGAAGGCAGGAATCATGATGGTCCATTATATCCTGGGCAGTGGTGGTCTTCGGCAGGCGACCAGCTTGCATATATAGTGACCAGGGTGCTGCAAGGTTGTTTTTGATTCGCATTTCTAAAAAATTAGAAGATAAGTATTCATTAAGTTGAACAAAAAAGAGCAGTTACTACTAAAATATGCCTACTAAGATGTGACCACGAAACTGAATCTTTAGATACTCATGATCGTTCTTATATATCTTCATAATCGCGCATAACCGGTCTAACCACCAACCTCGTTTAACTACGTACATTATAATTGTGTGAATTTTGACCGTGAACGCTTGTCGACGATATTTTAGCCAGTCTCAAACGCATTTGATTTATTAATTTATTACTTTAACGCATTTGATATCAATGATTTGTGGTTGATTGCTAAATGGTTTTGATGAAGCTACTTATTGTTTCGAAGAGCTCGATGAAAGGATAGAGCTCGATAGCTGTGGTTTTCATCATGCAAGCCTGTATGTAAGATCCGAGTCCAGATTCACGACAATTCCAGTTGAGGGATGAGTAATTAGGCTGAACATTTATATGTTAAGAAATTTAATTTCATCGTATTTATAACATTACTGCTTATGCATGCGACTGATCGTATAACTGAACCAAATAATCTCAATAGCATGTTAGACCAGAGGACGAGTTAAATGCCCGTCCAGAAATGGTGAAACTTGAGTCTCGTCAGTCATTACCAAAAACTACTCACAAAAATCTTGCACATAGCTTCACGGTCGTAATTGTCCATATTTTTACATTGGCTATAGTTCAGAATTGGTTAAACCTCGAAAAGCAACGATGATATAATTATTGGATTCAAACTCTGAACCACCTTCTTCTCAAGCTCTTATATTGTCACAGCCTCACTGAAAAAATTATTTGCTCTCATTCTTTTATTGTTATTACAAAGAATATGAAAATAATAAACATTGAGAAATTATTATTTGCATTTTAGGAGTACCAGTAACCATCCCCATTCTTTTGTTGCTAACACACCTTCTACTTATATAGGTTATCTGCTCAGACATAGCCATCATTGGCCTCCACAATTAATGCTGTTTCCTCGTCATCATTTACCTCTACAATGCCAATCTAGAGCAGAATTAAACGTGAAAAGCTCCATGAGCATCTATTTCTATTACGTCTAACAACTCTTCTATATGTTTGTAGCTATTTAAGGTTTCATTGTTTTTACGCGTGTAGCTTTGCAAGGCCTGAACGTGTGCTCATGAATAATTTCCCATTATTTTCACAATATTTCTCAATGCTTCAAAAACTGTGGACCAAAAAATTGACTGACGCAAGGGAATGAAGTTGCAATCATAATGAGCAACGTTTTTTTCAGAGGATTGAACAACTCTTCGGGACCTACGTGCAGAAGAACAACAACTTGTCGATGCACGAGGTAGGATGGAGGTCCAGACTGTACTGCACATCAGAAGGTTTGCTATAAATTTGGACTCAATTTACGATGAACTATTCCGATCAAACACATTTAGATAAACATTTTACGAGAGCTTTCAGCTGTTAAATTTTTGCGAGAACAATTTACTCACAACATTTCCTCTTCATGTGATGGAGCGTGTCGAAATCGATGAATCCAGCAGGACGGCATATGAGCTTTACAAAAGTACAATGGATTCGAAAATCAAATCCCAGCGAAGATCTTTTGAAGTTTCTCTTCTTAACAGCTGTCACTCAGAGTCGAAAAAAGAAGCTATTACAGCTTACGACAAGAAAAACCAATACGCCAGAAACGACGCTTCGTTTGGAATGGCAGCTGAAGTTAGGAGAAGCCTTGAAACGGTGAGTCAAAGCCAGCGAAAGTGCAATCATACTCATAATATCGCTGACCGAACACTGAGTAATTGGGCTGTGTATATTCGCGGCCAGATTGTGGATGATTATGATGATTGTGCTTCTCAATCAAATGCAGTCATTGCCGTATTAGGCATGGTGCGCAGCGGTAATAATTTCTATCAATAAATATTATCGATTTATTGGAATAGGTAAACTGCAAGAATCAGCAACACAAAAAGTACAGGAATCAGCAACTGGCCATGGGCCTATTTCTTCAGTGCCGACACTCCTATTCTATTCTTTCTATATGAGCGAAGCTTGAATACGTATATATAGTGAATACAGTGCTGCAAGGTTGTTTTGAATTTATATTTCTAAATAAGTAGAAGCTAAATATTCATCGATTGAGCAAAAAAGAACGGTAACTACTAAAATCAGCCTAAAAGGATGTGACCACGCAACTGAATCTTTGAATACTCCTGATCGTTCTTAACAGAATTGCACATAACCGGTCTAACCACCAATGTCGTTTAACTACATTATGACTGTGTGAATTTCGACCGTCAATGCTTATTGACGTTATTTTAGCTACTCTCAAACGCATTTGGTTAATTACTAAGATTCATCAACGATTTATGGTTCATTGCTAGTTGGTTTTGGTAAAGCTACTTATTGTTTTGAAGAACTCGACGGAAAGAAAGCTTCACGTGGTTTTCATCGCGCAATCCTACATGCAAGGTCCATGTCTAGATTCACGACAAATCCACTGGAGTGATGAGTAGTTAGGCTGAACATTTTTATGTTAAGAAATCAAATTCCGTCGTATTTATAACTTATTACTGCTTAGGCGTACAACTGATCATATAACTGAGCCAAATAATCTCCATAGATGTTAAACCCGATTACGACTTAAACCGCCCGTCCAAGAAATATGGTGAAACTCGAGTCTCATCAATCATCATCAAAACTACTCTCAAAAATCTTACACATTGCATCACTGCCCTATCGAAATTCGAAGACCTGTCAGCCGCTGGCACACGGACGCCCCAAGTTCTTATTACAGGGTAAATTAGAAGCTGTATGTCCGCTTTAGGTTCCGGTTGTCGTAGCGAAATAAGCGCCGAAATGGAATCTTGTGAAATTACTCGTCGAGCTTGGGGCGATCGTGGGGAGCGCGTATTTGGTACCTGATACGTTCGGGACAGACACGGCAGAATATGAAAAATGCTTAAAAAAATGCCCCTCCCTTCCCCCCCTTATGGGGGGAAGGGAGGGGGCATTTCAATCTCTGTACGTTATATATATATGCAGTCTATATTGCACTACTCGCTCAGTTTTAAGATCAGAGCAGTCTACCAGAGGCTCAATTTCATGCAAAGACGTTTACAGCTAGTAACTATTATGACATGGCGTGGTTAGAAATGAGGGCAATAATCGCAAATAAAAAAATTCAATCGATACATCAGAAGGTATCCCTGATTCGAGGTAATGCAAGTCAAGCCAATTTCTCCTATTAAATCCATGTATCCTACTGAATGAACAACGTTGTGTTTAAAATAATCGTTGAATTATTTGCCGTTTCATTTCATGTAACTTTCGTCACATTAAATTTCTATAGAGCAAACAGTTCTGCAAGGGCCTCGAATTTCTGCGTTTATTGACGAAAGATCACACAATAGAACGGAGTAGCACATGTTAATCTTAACAAAATCTAGATACGGCACTAACTAGATTGCAGCTTTCAGTTGTTCACAGTTCATAGCAAGTGAGGATCTTTCTGCATCCATCGTCGGCTGCTGTAATGACAGTTGTTATTGACTTTCACATGTAGTTCTTTACAAGCATCTAAGTTATCAACTGCACTCTAAATTCCTGGAGAGACAATCAAATAAATAGCGGAATAAACGATAGTTATGGAAATCCTCAAATCAAATATGTTGCTCACAGAGAGGCTCCTTGTAAAGTAAATAGTTCATAAGCTATCTTCTGCTTGAGAAATAAGCTCAAGGATGCGGACATATGCCCAAAGCTGAACAGTTCTTTGGTTGAAGAAACCATTCGTCTAGCAAAAAATTTTACCGGGGTCTGAAAATACTGCTTGCAACTGCTGAAAAATGAAGAATAGAAGCATTTCTAAATTCTAACGTCTAATACCAATTCAATATTGCTCGATGGAAATTTTCTGAATCTATCTTCGTATAATTTGTAGTTCTTCAGAAATAACCAAATTCATCCTTTTACTTGAATGTAAATCCATAATGAAGCCTGATGATACAACGAAATAGAGTAGATAGAACGGAAGAAAAGCAACTAACTTATTTGCGAATAATCGGTATACGCTCTGCAACCTGTTCCATCTTGTTCAGCTGGCCCGCCTACTGCCCAGTAGTGTCGAGTGTTGTCAGTTGGTTAGGTAGGCTAGCATCCTAGGCAATGGTGAGCTTTCGAGTTCCGACTACACTTAATCCAGTTGACGCGTTGATTTATAGAAATTAAAACCTTAAGCATATGAACAGGAGCTGCTTAAATAACATGCTCGTGTCAACATGCCCAAAGTTGAAAATTTCTACAGCAGCCAAAATCTTGAACACACAAATGCGTGATCATGATGAATGTCGCCTGCCGACGAGAACTTGAGAAGTACCTATTGCAACGAACTGATCAAATAACAACTGATTTAGAGCATATTCCGCATGAAATCTTCTCTTATTGTCGAAAAAAGAACTTGCATCGTATGATTGCTGCGTTTTGAAAGAAGTGATGGTGAAAGATACACCATACAACTACATCTTATCAATAAAATACTTGTGGGAAAACTTGACAAATTTTCCTTCATAATTTATATTTTCCAGTCAAATACGTCATAATTTAAGGAAATTGTTTAAAGCTCTCTGAAAGCATCAAATTGTTTAAAGCTCTCTGAATGAGACAAAACTATAATAGTACCTTTTCGATAAGCATTGAGCAATGAGCACTCTTCACTACGTACTGAACGATTCACGGTTCGATCTAAACTGGCGCCTTCCTATTGCTGCAACCTGCAACGGTTAATGCTCTGTCCGGATGAGGGATGCGGGAGGTAGACCCCCATGCACATACCCGCATACCCCCGTATGGCGGGAACTTCGATTGTTCGTGCGTTTACCATTGTTCAGCCTCTGAGCAGCCCCATCATGCGGTAGCGTCATCAGCGTTTGACCAGGGGCATCATGACGAAGCTTGACCAGCTGCTCTTTTTAATCATATTACGCAGATTTGGCCTACCGGGCAACTGACTTCCAAAAGAGGCTGGTAAATAGAAGCAAAACACCCTACGTGGCCGACTTGCTCCTGATGCACCCCTAAGCCAAATATAGTTCCTCTAAAACGACCTTAATCGGCACGAAACTTTTGACAGGGTGTCGTGATTGTCCATACTTTTGCCTTGGTTATCGTTAAGTGATGGTTAAACCTCGAAAAGCAACGTTGATATAATTAATGTTTTCAAACTCTGAACCACCTTCTTCTCCCGTCTCATATATTGGAACAGCCGCACAGTAAAAATAATTTGCACCCGTGTTTTTGTTGTTATTACCAAATATATGAAAAAATTCATATTCAGGAATTATAATTACAGTTTAGATGTATTAGTAACGAACCCGAACCCCATTCTTTAGTTGCTAACACACCGTCTACTTGGGTTATCTGCTCCGACATTGTCATCCTTTACCTCCACAATGCTGTCTCCTCGCCATCATTGACCTCCACAATGCTGTCTCCTCGCTATCATTTACCTCCACAATGCTGTCTCCTTGCCATCATTTACCGCTACAATGCCAATCCACCGCAGAACTATCCGAGAGAAGCTTCACGACAATCTAATTTGATTAGGAGTCTATCAACTCTTTCATATATATTTACCTATTATTTTCACTGTTTTTACGAGAGTAGCATTGTAATGCCAGAACGTGTTCTCACGAATAATAATCCATTAATTTTCACGACATTTAAAAATACTTCAATAACTGTGGAATAAAAAATTGACCGAAGGGTGTGAATTACGTTTAAATCATGAACAACGTTTTTTTTCAGAGGATTGAACAACTTTTCGGGACCTATGTTCAGAAGAACAACGACATGGCGAAGGCCGAGGTAGGATGGAGGTCCAGATTGAATTGCACTTTTGGAGTTTTGGCTGATGTTTAGACTCAATTTACGACGAACTTTTCAGATATACCATATTTAGGTAAACATTTTACGAGAGCTTTCAACTGTTAAATTTTGCGAGAACCACTTATTTACAACATTTCCTTTTCATGTGATGGAGCGTGCCGAAATCAATGAGACCAGCAAGAAGGCATATAAGCTTTACAAAAGTAAAATGGATTCAAGAATCAATTCCCAGCGATCTCTTGAAGATTCTCTTCTAAACAGCTATCATTCAGAGTCAGAAAGCGAAGCTATTGCAGCTTACGACAACAAAATCCAATACACCAGAAACGACGCTTCGTTTGGAATATATTAGCGGCCAGATTGGGGATGGTTATGATGATTGTGCTTACTCAATAATTTCTATCAATAAATATTATCAATTTGTTGGATGAGGTAAACTACAAGAATCAGCAACACAAAAAATACAGGGATCAGCAACATGCAGGTAATGGGCCTATTTGTTCAGTGCCGACACTTCTGTTCTATTCTGTTCTGTATGAGCGAAGCTTGAATACGTATAAAGTGATTACAGTGCTGCAAGGCTGTTTTGGATATATATTTCTTAATAAGTAGAAGATAAATATTCATCAATTGAGCAAAAAAGAGCAGTAACACTAAAATCGGCCTACGAGGATGTGACCACGCAACTGAATCTTTAAATACTCATGATCGTTCTTAAATATCTTCAGCATCACGCATAACCGGTCTAACCACCATCGTCATTTAACTACACTATAATTGTGTGAATTTTGACCGTCAACGCTTGCCGACGTTATTTTAGCCACTCTCAAACGCATTTAGTTAATTAATTAGATTTATCAACAATTTGTGGTTTATTGCTAGTTGGTTTTGGTGAAGCTACTTATTGTTTGAAGAACTCGATGAAAAGAAAGCTTCCTGTGGTTTGCATCGCGCAAGCCTGCATGCAAGGTCCACGCTCAGATTAACGACAGTTTCAATTGAGTGATGAGTTGTAGGGCTGTACATTTTTATGTTAAGAAATCGAATTCCATCGTATTTATAGCTTATTACTCCTTATGCGTGCAACTGATCATATAACTGAACCTAATAATCTCCATAGCATGTTAGACCCGATTACGACTTAAACCGCCCGTCCAAGAAATATGGTGAAACTTGAGTCTCGTCAATCATCATCAAAAACTACTCACAAAAATCTTACACATTGCATCACTGTCGTGATTGCCCATATTTTTGCCTTGCTTATTGATAAGTGATGGTTAATTCTCGAAAAGCAACGATGATATAATTAATGTTTACAAACTCTGAACCACCTTCTTCTCCCGTCTCATATATTGGAACAGCCGCACTGAAAAAATAATTTGTACCCATGCTTTTATTGTTATTACCAAATATATGAAAGAATACATATTCAGACATTTTAGGTGAATCGGTAACGACCCCCATTCTTTTGTTGCTAACACACCGTTTACTTGGGTTATCTGCTCCGACATTGTCATCCTTTACCTCCACAATGCTGTCTCCTCGCCATCACTGACCTCAATAATGCTGTCTCCTCGCCATCACTGACCTCAATAATGCTGTCTCCTCGCCATCATTGACCTCCATAATGCTGTCTCCTCGTCATCATTGACCTCCATAATGCTGTCTCCTCGCCATCATTGACCTCCATAATGCTGTCTCCTCGCCATCATTGACCTCCACAATGCTGTCTCCTCGCCATCATTGACCTCCACAATGCTGTCTCCTCGCCATCATTGACCTCCACAATGCTGTCTCCTCGCCATCATTGACCTCCACAATGCTGTCTCCTCGCATCATTGACCTCCACAATGCTGTCTCCTCGCCATCATTTACCTCTACAATGCCAATCCACCGCAGAATTATCCGAGAGAAGCTTCACGACAATCTAATTTGATTAGGAGTCTATTAACTCTTCCAGCTATTGTTTTCATTGTATTTTGAGAGTTAACATTGTAATGCCAGAACGTGTGCTCACGAATAATAACCCTTTAATTTTCACAATATTTCAAAATAATTCAATAACTGTGGTCCAAAAAAGTGACCGAAGGAAAAGAATGAAGTTGCAATCATAATGAGGAACGTTTTTTTTCAGAGGATTGAAGAACTCTTCGGGACCTATGTGCAGAGGAACAACAACATGGCGATGGACGAGGTAGGATGGAGGTCCAGATTGAATTGCACTTTTGGAGGTTTGGCATTTTTAGACTCAATTTACGACGAACTATTCAGATATACCATATTCAGATAATCATTTTACGAGAGCTCTCAACTGTTAAATTTTGTGAGAACTACTTATTTACATTATTTCCTTTTCCTGTAATGGAGCGTGTCGAAATCAATGAGACCAGCAAGAAGGCATATAAGCTTTACAAAAGTAAAATGGATTCAAAAATCAATTCCCAGCGAAGATCTCTTGAAGATTCTCTTCTAAACAACTATCACTCCGAGTCAGAAAGCGAAGCTATTGCAGCTTACGACAACAAAATCCAATACGCCAGAAACGACGCTTCATTTGCAATTGCAGCTGAAGTTAAAGAAAGCCTTGAAACGGTGAGTCAAAGCCAGCAAAAGTGCCATCATGTACTCATAATATCGCTGACCGATTACTCTTAGCATTTAATTGGGTCGTGTATATTCGCGGCCAGATAGATTCGTTTCACATTGTGTGAAACGAATTTGAGAAAGAACAGAGGCCACATTCATACAACCAGGGCAGCATAAGGCTATGTGAGCGAAGCTTGAATATATAATTATTCAAGATTATTCTGAATTCACATTTCTAAGAAAGTAGAAGGTAAATATACGTCACATTGAGCAAAAAAGGGCGGTAACTACTAAAACTTGCCTACGAGGATGTGACCACGCAACTGAACCTTTAAATAAATTGTTCTAAAATATCATCATAATCACACATAACCGGTCTAACCACCAACGTCGTTTAATTGCACTAAAATTGTGTGACTTTTGATCATCAATGCTCATTGACGTTAATTTAGCCACTCTCAAACGCATTTAGTCAATTAATTAATTTTGTCAACCATTTGTGGTTGATCGCTGATAGGTTTTGGTGAAGCTACTTATTATTTTTAAGAACTCTATGACAAGAAAGCTTCTTACGGTTTTGATCGTGCAAGTCCAGATTCACGACAGTTTCAGTTGAGTGATGAGTAGTAGGGCTGAACAATTTTACGTTAAGAAAGCGAATTTCATCGTATTTATAACTTAATCCTGCTTATGCGTGCAACAGATCGTAAATTGAACCGAAAAATCTCAATAGCAAGTTAAACTCGAGGACGAGTTAACCTGCCCGTCCCGAAGAAATATGCTGAAACTAGAGTCTCATCAACCAAGCTAGAGTCTCATCAATCATCAAGTATAACACACAAAAGTCTTACACATTGCATCACTGTCGTGATTGTCCTTATTTCTGCCTTGGGTATAGTTAAGTGATGGTCAAACCTTGTGAAGCCGAGATGATATAATTATTGGATTAAATCCCAGAATGGATCTCTGAACCACCTTCTTACATCATTGACCTCCACAATGCTGTCTCCTCGTCATCATTGACCTCCACAATGCTGTCTCCTCGTCATCATTGACCTCCATAATGCTGTCTCCTCGCCATCATTTATCTCCACAATGCCAAACTACAGCTAAATTATACGTGAAAAGCTTCATGACAATCTAGTTCGATTAGGAGTCTATCAACTCTTCCATATATTTTTAAATATCTAAGGTTTCATTGTTTTTATGAGAGTAGCATTGCAATGCCAGAACGTGTTCTCATGAATAATAACCCTTTAATTTTCACGATATTTCAAAATACTTCAATAACTGTGGACTAAAAAATTGACCGAAGGTAGTGTATAAAGTTGTAATCATAATGAGGAAAATTTTTTTCAGAGGATTGAACAACTCTTCGGGACCTATGTTCAGAGGAACAACAACATGGCGATGGTTGAGGTAGGATTGAGGTCCAGATTGTACTGCACACTTGAAGGTTTGACGGATGTTAAGCTTCAATTTAACCCATTAATGCCGAGAATTTTTTTCTGAATTTTTTTTTGGTTCCTTATGAGAATATTGTCATTTGTGTTGATAATAAACAAAAAATATGTTCATATATTTATTTTTTGTTGTATGTGAAAAATTATAGCTTGGTTCCATATGGAACCGCTCAGCATTAACATAACGTTTCTTCAAACAACACTTTTTCCGATAGTAAATCAAGCAAGGTTATTCATAATAGATAATATGCAATATACGTATTCATAATGGACAATACTGATGATAAACCAATCATTCTAGAATACAATTTAATTTTTAGCATGGAATGCTTCCATTCATTCAGAATGAATAGAAAGGTTGCTCATTTTACGAATGTTTGGGCGCGTTGTCCACATTGTTTGCATTTGCAGTGCTTCTGTTGTCTCTTTGCTGGCCGATGTTGTTGATTGTTGTATTGCACTTCACCAAGGATCGAAATAGAAGGGCGCACTATAGACCCTGATTGTTTTATTTAGGGTCTCCTGCATTATTGCTTTTCCTAATCGATCTTTTCGAAAATTCATTGCAATAGCCATTCTTTTTTTCAAAAGTTTTTTGAGAAGCCAAATTAAACTAAAATAGATATCACATACAATATGTTGGCTTGGGACCAATTGTATCATGTTTATGGGACCAATCTATGTTCCAGCCCCATGAATAAGTTTCTTTTTCTATTAGATCTGCCGATCCCAGTTAAAATTTGGGGCAGGGAATAGAGCAGGCCGTCGCCGGCTGCAGAGCCGACGTAGGGACGCGACAGAGCCGCGATAGAGTAGAAATGTCCGCATTAGAGACGATATCGCCAGCCGCGTAGCAGCGCTAATTCACCTCTGAGTACCTGCCTAGGTGTGCTCTGTCCTGCCGACGCGCAGCCCTCACTGAGCACCGCCTGCTCAAACCAGCCCCACGCCTGCTCTGGCGCGGCTCTGGCAATGTATGCGGCAGTTACGCGTTACCGTTTGTCAACGATTTAAAAATTTTTTCCTTCTCTCTCTGAGATCACCTAGACTTCTCTTTGGCAATGACAGGTTGTATTGGCCTTGGTTTTTGACATTCATATCGTATTGACATTAACAACGGTATTTAGAAACTAACACATTCAATTATCAAGGAAATATACACGTCAAACTACTCACCGCTATGAACTATCTGAAAACGTCGACGGCAGCTCCGAGAATCGAACGCAGATCCTCCGCGTCGTAGCCCACGCCTGTACCACCTTGGCCACGCGACCACCTCACCAGTATAGGCTCTATGAACTACTTAACTATAATACGGATGCCACATTACGTTTACGGCATTACGTTCAATTATCCTTCGTTGAACTTGATAGATATTATTCATAATGCACCAATTTCAAGAATCATTTACCTCCATAATGCTGTCTCCTCGCTATCATTTACCTCTACAATGCCAATCTACAGTTAAATTATTCGTGAAAATCTTCATGACAATCTAGTTCGATTATGAGTCTATCAACTCTGCCATATATTTCTAGCTATCTAAGGTTTCATTATTTGTGAGAGAGTAGCATTGCAATGCCAGAACGTGTGCTCATGAATAATATCCCTTTAATTTTCACTATATTTCAAAATACTTCAATGACTGTGGACTAAAAAATTGACCGAAGGAAGTGAACAAAGTTGCAATCATAATGAGTAACGTTTTTTTTTCAGGGGATTGAACAACTCTTCGGGACCTATGTGCAGAAGAACAACAACTTGGCGATGGACGAGGTAGGATGGAGGTCCAGATTGTACTGCACACTTGGAGGTTTGGCGGATGTTTAGACTCAATTTAAGATAAACTATTCAGACAAATCTTAGTTGAATTAGCATTTTACAAGCCTTTTAAACTGGTGATGTTTGAGAGAACAACTTAAAGCATTTTTAGCGCATTTTCTCATTTATGGAAAAAATGTCCTACTGTGCTCGTCATGGCCGTCCGTCCGTCTGTCTGTCCGTGACTTCGCGTTTTCGTCGATTTTGAGAAAATGCGCTCTCTGTCACTCACTGCAGTGAGAACTGAGTTATATTTTTTATTAGATGGAGCGTGTCGAAATCGACGAGACTGAGGAAACGGGAAATAAAATGATTAAATTACAAATTTGTATCAGTGATTTAAACATTGCGATACAATCTACTTTGGATCATTGGTCATTTTTCACCTACATTCATAAATATAAGTGATTAAGTGTCATTGGAATTTAAAGATAATCATTATAGGATAATTTACAACTTTCTCGAGTTAATGCAGATGGAAGAATTCGGCAGTTTCAAATAAACAAGCATGATATAGTACATATTACAATGTGTGAAACGAACATGAGAGAGTACGCAGAGGCCACATCCATACGCCCGGGGTTGAAAGTAGATAAACGAAAGATATCCTCTGATGAGGGCAAGACTAATATTGTTAATCAGGTTTTTAGTAGCGTATTCACTGAAGAGGAATTGAAAAGTATTCCAGCTATTAAGAAGCGCCCAGTCGGCTCTAAATTAACAAATTTTGAAATATAAGAAGAAGAGGTTCTCAGGCGCCTTATCGATGTAAATCCAAACAAGTGATGTGGACCGGATGGTCTCAGCCCCAGATTACTCAAATAGTTAGCAACTGTCTCAGTCGACCCTCTGACGTCATTTTTTTCGAAAAACTTTGAACAAAGGGATCTTGCCGGCTGACTGGAAAGCAGCCCAACTGACACAATTGATCAAAAAATGTGACAAAAGCTGCCCGGCAACTATCGCCCTGTCAGTTTGACAAGTGTCGTTTGCAAGGTAATTGAATCTGTTGTGAGGGATCGATTGATCGGTCATTCGACTGTAAATAATCTCATATCAGACTGTCAACGTGGCTTTATTGCCGGTATATCCTGTACCACTAACCTCTTGTCTACTCTGAATGAATGGACCCGCCTGCTGGACGAAAGGGAGCCAGTAGACGCAGTGCACCTCGATTTTGCCAAGGCATTTGACAGTGTCCCACATGAGCGGCTGTTGCGTAAATTGAAGTCTTCAGGAATTGAGAGTAATGCACTCAAATGGATCAGAAATTTTCCAGTAGGGAGACGACAACGTGTCAGAAATAATACGTCCGTATCAGACTGGGCTTCAGTGCGCAGCAGCGTGCAACAAGGAAGCGTTCGCGGGCCTGTTTTTTTGTTGCATTTATAAACGATCTGCCAGAAGCTGTGTCTAGGGTGTGCTCTATGTATGCTAGGGTATGCTATGTATGCGTGAAGAATACGTCGCAAAAAGTACAGTTGCAAGGTGATCTTGACAGGTTGGTTGACTGGGCTGATAAGTGACAGCTGCGTTTAAACGCTGACAAAAGTAAAGTAATCAAGAATGGCAAGAATAATGAACAGCAAGATTACAGTTTGAAAGATATTGTTGCAACGACAGAGTGATGATGTCGAAGTCGACAATGGAAAAGATTTAGGAGTTAATGGTGTCAATGAATTATTGAAATTTTGTAAGCATATTGAAGCTCAAGTTAATAAAGCAATAAACGACTTGGACTGATCAGACGCTTTTAGGAGTACATACCTGTAAATGGTGAAGCGATGAAACTGTTGTTTGTCGCTGTTTGTCGCCCTGAGTTTAGAAACGCCGTGTGGTCACCAATACTAGAAAAGGACAAAAATTTAGTCGAGAATGTTCAAGGACGTGCAACAAGGATAATTCCGGGATTAAAAGGTCAGCCTTATGAAGAGAGATCAAAGATTATGAAGATTCCAAGCCTCTGTTATCAACAGCTGCGTTTTGACATCATTGAAGTATACAAGTATAACCACGGTTTATACAAGGTCCCAGAAGGATTACTAGAATTTGAAACAAGAACCAACACCAGGGGCGACGGCTATAAACTAAAAAAACCTGCGTTGCTACTCATCCATGCGACAACATTTCTTCTCGCTTCGAGTCACCGACATGTGGAACAGCCTCCCAGATAGCATCGTTGACGCTCCGAGTACGAACGCCTTCAAGAACTGACTAGACGAAGCTATGCAGGAGCATATGTTCAGTCTCAAAATGCTTAGAACCTCAAGGGCCAGGCTATAAGTCAGCAGCTATCTCAATCAATAGTCAGTTACGGAAAGATCGGGTTCAAAAGGCCGGATCCCTTTTGGAATCCTGTTACGAAAAGTACAAGAATCGGCAACAGGCCGACACTTCTATCCTATTCTATGTGAACGAAACTTGAATATATAGTGATCAGTGTTCACAGTGCTGCAAGATTATTCTGGATTCACATTTCTAAGGAAGAAGATAAATATTCATCAAATTGAACAAAAAAGGCGGTAGCTGCTAAAATTTGCCTACGAGGATGTGACCACGCAACTGAATCTTTAAATACTCATGATCGTTCTTAAATATCTTCAGCATCACGCATAACCGGTCTAACTACTAACGTCGCTTAACTACACAACAATTGTGTGAATTTTGACCGTCAACGCTAGCCGACGTTCTTTCAGTCAGTCTCAAACGCATTTATTCAATTACCTTGATTTATCAACGATTTGTGGTTGATCACTGATTGGTTTTGCTAAAGCTACTTATTGTTTTGAAGAACTCGGTGAAAGGAAAGCTTCCTGTAGTTTTTATCGTACAAGCCCGAATGCAAAGTCCACGTCTAGATTCTCGACAGTTTCAATTGAGTGATGAGTAGTTAGGCTGAACTTTTTCATGTTTTTCACTTTTTCATGTCAAGAAATCGATTTCCATCGTATTTATATCCTATAACTGCTTATGCGTGCAACTGATCGTATAATTGAACCAAATAATATTCATAGCATGTTAAAACAGACGACGAGTTAAACTGCCCGACCCGAAGAAATAAGGTGAAACTTGACGCACATCAATCATCACCGAAAACTACTCACAAAAATCTTACACTTTGCATCAAATTCGTTCATATTTTGCCTTGGTTATAGTTAAATGGTTAAGCCTTTAAAAGCAACGATGATATAATTATTGGATTCAAACTCTGAACCACCTTCTCCCGCCGCATATATTGGCGCAGCTGCACTGAAAAAAATAATTTGCACCCATGCTTCTATTGTTATTACCACAAAGATGATGGTAATGCACATTCAGAAATTATCATTTGCCCATCATTGACCTCCATAATGCTGTCTCCTCGGCATCATTGACCTTTATAATGCTTTCTCCTCGCCATCACTGACCTCCATAATGCTGTTGTCTTGCCACTATTTACCTCCACAATGCCAATCACTCAGAATCATTTACGTCTACAGTGCCAATCTACAGCAGAATTATACGTGAAAAGCTTCACGACAATCTAGTTCGATTAGGAGTCAATTAACTCTTTCATATGTATGTAGCCTATCTAAGGTTTAATTGTTTTTATTAGTGTAGCATTGCAATGCCAGAACGTGCGCTCACGAATAATAACCCTTTAATTTTTACGATATTTCAAAATACGGCAATAACTGTGGTCCAAAAAATTGACCGAAGGAAGTGAATGACGTGGTAATCATAATGAGCAACATTTTTTCCAGAAGGCGGAAGAACGAGCAAAGGCGAACAAGGGTCCATTAGGCAAAACTTTTGGGGCCGTAAAAGAAATCGTCACCGCACCTGTCACACTCGTCGAGTCCGTAGTCGAAGACGTCGCTGAATTAATTTCTCCTTCTTCATGGTGTGAAAAATGGTGATTCAGATTTATTTTACTTCTCTTCATGCAAGTGGATTACATGCAAGCGATCCAAATCAGTTGTTCTAAACTTCTCATCGAAATATCCAATCAAAACAATATCATGCGAGCATCAAAAATCATGCTGATCTATTACCCTTGTATGCTTCTGTCACTCATCAACTTGGTAAGATTTACGGACATGACCGCACTTTCAGAGTGAACAAATAAACGATTTGATTTGGTATACTGTACTTTGAAGCATTGCATTTGATTTGATTTCGTTGGTTTGATTTCGTTGTTAGAGTTTATTTTTACACTGTAAAGTGTAAATTAAACCATTGCGTTGATCACTGAGGATGAGACGTCCACCTTGCTTGGGAAACTTGGAAAATGACAAGTTGTATATACAGAAACATGCCTTGGATTCTGAAACATGTTCAAAATACTCGGGATGGGATTGTGTAGTTTCAACTTATTTATTTCGACACTTCCTATGAAAATATTTGTTTTCCATTGAATCACGTGAGTTCGCATTTACATCAGGAGTACAAGAGAGAAAATGAAGTTCTATGTACTCTCTTCATTTACATTCATTTTACTTTTGTGTGTTTTTTACGATGACATTTTTGCCAGTGTAGCATATTAGGCCACGAGGCCTTTTGCCGATTCTTGTCATGGCTGGCAGAGCTTTTCACAGCTTTTTGCGGGTCTCGAACATGCAACGCACTGCTCTAATATCCATTACACTTAACCGCCCGGGCACCTCGCCGCTTTCGACCAGAACTGCCCCAGAAAACTGGGATGGTGACGATACGAGATCGTATTAATAGTAATGTCCGATGATGCTGACAGTAAGAACATAAATACGGGGGTGAGTTAAACAAGTTTCAAAAAGTAGGCTGCGTGCATATATACATTTTTTGGTGGAGAGGTCAAGTCGTTAATCGCATTTGCTGTTCGTATATTTTGGTACGTTCCATCAGCTCCTCAGCGTTAGCTGGATTACGACACCCAAACGCGATATTCGGAAACTGGCATCTAGCAACAGTCGGCGCTTCGTGTAGGCTGTAGGGGGTGTAAGTGTAGTGTGTTGTCACTGCACAGAGTCTTGCAACTGTCGTGGGGGGAAGTCTTCTGGGTGGAATCTGTATAAGGTTGTTGTTACTGTAAGGATATTTGATATGTATGTTGCTTTCTCGTATGGGCCTTTTTATTATGGGATGCGTTCAGTTGCAAAGTCTTCTTTGTTTCCGTCATTTTGCAACATTTTCTTGCGTTTGTGTTATGTGTTTGGATCCTAATTAAATAAATTGTGATTGAATTTTTATTGTTATCAATATAACGGAGTTGAAATCGTTGACGCTCCGAGTAGGAACGCCTTCAAGAACAGACTAGACGAAGCTAAGCAGGAGCATATGTTCAGTCTTAAAATGCCTAGCAAATTACGGACCAGGCAATAAGTCCAGCAGCTATCTCAATCAACCGTCAGTTATGGAAAGATCGGGTTCCAAAGGCTAGATCCCTTGTGAATCAAGTCACGAAAAGTACAAGAATTTACAACAGGCCATGGGCCTATTTCTTCTGTGCAGAAACTTCTATCCTAAAACAACACTCGTAGGAAAATTTCAGGTCCGGCTTATTGGCTGTAATTTGCTCTGCGATGTAGCGTTCTATTTGGTCCTCATTTTGCCCGTGATGTCTTCCTTCCACGACCCGCTCTCTCCTCAAAAACTATAAATATATCGGCATACAAAAATATATTAAAACAGGGTGGCCCAGTTGCTATAGCTCAGAGTACCAAGATTGTGGTAGAGAGGTACGGGTTCGATCTCGGCTAACTTCGACAGATTATGGCCAGAATCAGCAATGAAGCCGGGCGGTTAAGCAAAGCAAAATTGAAGCAGTGAGTTGCGTGTTCCAGACTTCAGCAAACTGTGAATGTTCTGCAATGTTTAGGATCGTCGACATTTAAAACGGCCTAAAAACGCTGAACGCGCTATTTTTATTATACACTTATGTGTAGAAGTGTAAGATTAGAGATCGGAATGACCTTGCCAATCTCAAGTAGAATTTTCACAACTGCTTGCAGGTTGCGAACACTCGACTCATTGCTCAAAATTTGCTGAACTACCTTGCGTCAGGTAATATTTATAAACAATAAAATATTGATAATAAAAACTCCCTTTTCCGCTCGAGAAAAGTTCAGTTGGACTTCCTAGGCTGAAGTCTAAGAGCTTTAATGAATTTGATATGAAGGCTTAAAGCTCAGAGAAAGGAGGACATTTTGTCTAAATGATCAATGCACTTGTTAATTTTGTGTGGGTCATCCTGACACAGTTTGGCTCAGCATAAAGGTATATCAGTGCTGCGTTCAGAAAGTGTGTCACAATTTAGACAATCGGAGCCATTTATTTCTCGGAGTCTACTGTAACAGAACGGGATTTTGCAGACATCGCTGAGGCACCTCATCGCCGAACAAACACATTGTTTACTGCAGTGGTTCTCAAACTTTTTCAGGCTGCATGGCGCCCCCTTTGGCTCCCTAGTGAATTTCTAGCGCCCCCCCCACAGACACATATAAGATCATGCGCCTCTTACTATAAAATTTAGTTCGCTGCAATTTTAAAAGATAAAGGTTAACACAAATGTGTATTTCACAAATAGGACCCCTTTTAGTGAACCAATGTGTTTTTCAGCTGTTTTAACTGTTTCAGCACTATATAGAAACCTAGGACGTCTCGGGCAAATTTACGGCCGAACTCTTGGCCGGTCTCACGACCAATCTACAAATTCAGTTATCAAGGAATATCACATAAAACAAATGAACGCACCTGAATAAAACTTGGAACATGTATTCATCAGAACTTAACGGTGACGTTTAGCTTGCGAAATTTTTTTAAATATCACCTTCATTCGTGAGTTTTTGCGATACAGGCCAAAATTCGCAGTTTAGATTTAAAAAAATTATTTTACCGTCGTTTGCAAGATTTCTTTCATTTTACCGTCATTCTTGATTTCACACTTCCTTATTCGCTTTCGTTCCCAAGTTATGCAGATATAGGAGAAACGATCGGCTTTTCTACCGGCTGGTTTAACCAATTGTTAAAAGCATTAGAAACGTCCGTATTCCTTTTAGGCCGACTATAGAGTAGAAGTTTTCTTGTATTCGCGAAGTAGTTTATTAGTCGTCTGTCAGCTGATGTATATGTATGAACCCCCAGTAATTTGGTAAGATTTGCTTGATTAGTTTAAGGATTAGCTAAAACTGTGA